CCACTCAATTCCCTCTCCTGTCAACTGTGTGCCTGGGCTCTGGATGTTCTGACGAGATATCCCCAAGCCATATTTCCCAGTGGAAATATGTCTCATCGTGCCTCTGGGAAAACCCGCTCTACTGTGCTTAGAAGCCCCCGTGGAGCTCTGCTTTCAGAGAAACCACATGACTTGGAGCAATATCTAAAAGAACAAATGGACGTGTCGTTCCCTGCAGCTCTGTTTCTAGTCTGAAGTTACGTTTTGACAGCAATGAGCTACTTGATGGTAGGCAAATGCTGAGGACCATAGCTTAGCACAGAACAAAGGAGAAGTGCATAGCACCCCCGCCGTGTCCCCAGGAGCGGTGTTTAGTCCCTACAGGTCAGCAGTGCCCATTAAACTCGGATCATCTTCGATGGTAAATACCCTTAGGCTATTTTCCACTGTATTTACTATTCAAAATGACTTCTGACTTTGACTATCTAAAATGGCCTTATAGACTATAAACCTCCCCCCAATTCACAATAAACAGCTTTCAGGAAAATAAAATGGCCCTTTGCCATTAAAATGATACTTACTAGTCTCATTGATATGAGAAATTTTCCACCCTTAATAGACTCGGTTGTTTTACCATCTGTAATTGCAGTGGTACCTTTATTTCTGATAGCATGCTCAAAGGACTTTGAACATGTTGTCAGAAGATGCCAGTCCCTGGAAAAGGACACCACGCTGGGTAGAGGGTCACCCCCCAAAAAAGGCCCTCGCCTATATGGGTTGACACAGTAGCTGCAACAAGAGTCAGGTTTAAGGTTGTGAGGCTATCGCAGGACTGGGGCAGTTTCATTTGGTTTTACACTGGCTTATTATAGCTGGAACCAACGGGACTGCACCTCTTTCCTTCTTTTGATTTTTCCAAATACTAGATGTGATAACATGCCTGGACATTGCAAAAAGTGAAGTATAGAAAGACTGGCAGGTTGAATCCACCCAGAGACACCTGGGAAGAAAAACCCATCGATCCATAGCTGAAAGAAAATCAGACACTGGAATCGTATGCAGCAGGATTCTTCTTTTTTTCCCAAGAGGTCACCGGGAGCTGGAACCGACTTAACCAAACTAAATGTGATTAAACCTCTCAGGAAGAGAGTCAAACTGATGGAGGGAGGGAAAGAGTGCACCTGCTCTTAGTGAAATACTGGAAATGTAAAGTAGTTTGGGATTGGTCTGCAGAGAATTAGTTTGTTAAAAGGGACCCCGGATGATACGACTGAACTGTTGAGTTAGAGGATATGTGGATTATATGTCAATAAGACACTTAAGGAAGAGAGAAGAGAACGGACCCAGGACATTATAGTCCCTCCCTCCCTTGTAGTAAAAAATTCCTTTTAAACCTAATCAGCAAAACAAACAAACAAACAAACAAAAACAAATTCACTGCCATCGAGTCAATGCCAACTCCTTACAACTCTATGGGGCAGGGTAGACCTGCCCCTGTGAGTTTTCAAGGGAAATCCCTGTGTCTCTCACGCTGATAGACTGACGGTCTATTGATTTTGAACTGTTGGTCTTGAAATTAGCAGCCCCAAAAACCATTATGCCATCAGGGATAGGGGAAATAGGGCCATTTAGGTAGGTGATGGAGCCCCAAACCTTAGGGTGAGGAAACCTTAGTGGCTACTGCTCTTATGCCCCTGGCGTGACGAAGATATCAACTGAGGTTGGATAAGCCTTTGGGGAAATGTAAGCTGTTTTCCTGTGAACCTTACTCCCTTTTATCCCATTGCTTGGAAGTCCTCTGATCAATGTAAAACCTGCTACCTCCTGGGACTATCGCCAAGTCGATGTCTTGTCACACAGTTAAAGGTATAAAATTTGCCTGGTTTTGACTGGATCTTTGAAATGGTTTGGAGGCAGCAAGCCTGCAGCAATAAACGTGGAATTTCTTGAATCAACCTAGTCTCTGTCTTTGGCCGTAACACAGGCTCCACTGAACCCCTTGACTTCACCAACAAAAGCTCCATGCCACCTCCTCTAGTGACATGTATTGGGTGCACTCTCAAATACAGGATAAGTACTGATGGGGCAATAGCTTTGTTTTAAATGACTGCAGTCGAACCTTGGACTGATTGACAAAGCTAAGAGGAGACGTTGGAAACTTAGTCACCCTCTTGCAGTTGACTTGGCTGTTGAATAAATAAGAATTCGATCGAGGGTGAATGAGAGGGACTGAGCACACCTCATACAGACAAGGTGGTCACGTGGCATTCATCGCCAGAGTATTCGAAGCATAGCACACACATGAAACTTCTGGACACTTTGTGGAGCTTCCGTAATCAACAGACACTCAGAGAATCTGGTCGTCTCTTCAAAGAAAGAATGTGTCAACTCTAGTTTGTAAAGGTGTCAGAGACTCACACAGAGCCTTCCTCTCATTTTTCACAACCTTGGACTACTTAGTAAGTAAGGGTCCAGGAACCCATAACGAATTCAATTTCCATCTGCGACTGAACTCCCCATTGCCTACTGACTCCCGAATGCATCTGAAAATCCATTCAAATGACACATCTATCCTGATTTACGACAGGCATGCCTTGTTTCAGTGGGCCTCCCTTTATTGCACTTCACAGATAATGCGCTTTTTAGGAATTGAAGATTTGTGGCAACCCTGCCTTGAGCAAGTCTATCAGTGGCA